CTGCAAAGCTTAAAATATTTACTGTCTGTCTTTTACAGAGAAAGTTTTTGATCCCTGCTGTATAGGATGGAGATGCAGAGAAATAACTCCAGAAATCTGCAGAACACTCCCTTTGGTCTTTGGCTGAATGCTAATCCACACACACATAGGTTAAATTTCCAGGAGGCTAGGCAAAGAACAATTGCCAGGAACAATTGCCAGGGTGCTATAAGATGGACAACTCACGAGCTCACACAGTACTGGGAGATTCAAGTCTTATTCATCCAGAGAGGAAGGACTTCACTGAATACTCAGGCATTCAGTAGAGACCCCACAAGGCTCACACCTTAGTATTGAGGTGATCTTAATAAAGGCCATTCTAGACTCATCCTAACAAAGCTTAAAAACCAACTTTGAGGGCAGCCTGGGTGGCTCAGCGATTTAGTGCCTCCTTTGGCCAGGGGCCTGATCCTAGAGACCCGGGATCAAGTCCGCGTGGGGCTCCCTGCACAGGGCCTGCTTCTCCGTCTGCCTGTGTCTCTGCCTCTCTCTTTCTCTCTCTCTTCTCTGTGTCTCTCATGAATGAATAAAATCTTAAAAAAAAAAAAAACCAAAAAAACAAAAACAAACAAACAAAAAAACTTTGAACAGACCAGGGTGAACTGCAAGTAATTTAGCTGCCTGCCAGATTTCCACACTCCTTAAAAACAGGAAATACAATTCAAATAGTCAACAGTGTAACATTAATAGCGTTCAGCATTCATTAAAAATTATTAGGCCTATAACTGAGAGTAAGCCAGTCAATAGAAACAGATACAGAAATAGACAAGAATTTTAAAACACCTGTTATTGGGACGCCTGCATAGCTCATTCAGTTAAACGTCCAACTCTTGGTTTCTGGTGAGGTCCTAATCTCAGGGTCATGGGATGGAGCCACAGGGTGGACTCCAGGCTCAGTGTGAAGTCTGTTTGAGATTCTCTCCTTCCCCCTCTGCTCTTCCCCCTGCTCATGTGTGTATGCACTCTCTCTGTCAAATAAATAAATAAATAAATAAATAAATAAATAAATAAATAAATAAATAAATAAATAAATAAAATCTTAGAAAAATAAAACACCTGCTATTAATACTGTAAATTTGCTCAAGGATTTCAAAGAAAACGTGAATGTGACTAGAAGAGAAGATAAAGAGAGCTAAATGGAAGTGTTAGAGCTCGAAAATACAGCACCTGCAGTGAAAAATTCACTGGATGGTTTAACTAGTGAATTTAACCAGATTAGGTACTGCAGAGGAAAATATCAGTGAAACCAAAGGCACAGCAATATAAACTACCCAAACTGAAGCACAGACAAATATTGAAAAAAGTTACTAGACCCTGATGATTTGACCTATGGGAACAATATCAAATGGTTCTATGTGAGAAATTGGAGTACAGAAGGCTGGAAGCAAATGGAGCAAAAATATCGGAAGAAATAATATTCTTCAAAAACTTTTCAAATAATTCAAATAATTACTGAAAAAATTTCCAAGTTTGATGAAAAACTAAAAATCACAGGTTTTAGTTTAGTTGAGCACAGTGTTCCCCAAGGAAACACAAAGAACCACACTGCAGAACATAATTGAATTGTCATTCAAAACCAGTGATGGAGTTTAAAAGCAGCTGGAAAGGGCAGCCCCAGTGGCTCAGTGGTTTAGCGCCGCCTTTGGCCAGGGGCGTGATCCTGGAGACCCAGGATCAAGTCCCATGTCGGGCTCCCTGCATGGAGCCTGCTTCTCCCTCTGCCTGTGTCTCTTCCTCTCTCTCTCTGTGTCTCTCATGAATAAATAAATAAAATCTTAAAAAAAAAAAAGCAGCTGAAAAAAAGACATATACAGAGGAACAAAGATAAGAATTATAGGGGTGCCTGGCCAGCTAGGTTAGTAGAGAAGGCGACTCTTGATCTTGGGGTTGTGGGTTTGAGCCCCACATTAGTTGTAGAGATGACTTAATCATAAAAAAAAATCTGAAAACAAAAAAACACACATAAAACAAAAAAAACTAAGATAGGAACAATTGCAGACTTCTCTCCAGACACAATGCAAGTTGGAGGATAGTAGAGAGAGGATCATTTTCAAGTATTAAAAGAAATAAAGAGGGATCGCTGGGTGGCACAGCGGTTTGGCGCCTGCCTTTGGCCCAGGGTGCGATCCTGGAGACCCGGGATCGAGTCCCACGTCCGGCTCCCGGTGCATGGGGCCTGCTTCTCCCTCTGCCTGTGTCTCTGCCTCTCTCTCTCTCTCTCTGTGACTATCATAAATAAAATTTAAAAAAGTAAAAAAAAATTAAAAGAAATAAAGCAAGTCAGCATAAAATTCTACCTCAAATGAAAATATCTTTCAAATATGAAATTGAAGTAAAGACTTTTAAAAACCAAAGCTGAGAGAATTCCTTCCTGGACTTCAAGAGATTCTGAAGTTCTTCACATTGAAGGAAAATGGTATCAGATGGAAACAAGTCTGTACAAAAACATGAGGTGGGCCAGAAATTCTAGTGTTGTTAGGAAATATTAAAGATTTCCTGTTTTAAAATTTCTTGCAATGTAGAATAGTAACCTTTTTGAACTTTTTGCACTCATTCCATTAAAATCTATTGGTCCTTCATTTTGAATGGATCATTTAGCCATACATAATTTTGTAAAATCTTTGGAAAACATTGGCCTACTTAGTTATGTGGGTTTCCAAATGTTGACATGTTTCATTATACAACATTAAAAAAATCACATTTACTTATATCACTGCTGTTGTCACAAAAGTATTTAATTTGGAAAGTTGGAAAGTATTGTCTGCCTATAATGCCTTTGCCAGCATGGAGTGTCTGATTTGTCATCATGGGATCCTACATAACATAGTACTACAGAGTACTGAAATGCATTAATCCCAGTAAGCATGAACTGTTAGCCTTGCAGGGTGGAAAGAAGTTGATATAACAATCTTGCCACCAAATAGCTGGTTGGTTTCCTTCAGGGATGTAGCATTTCAGAGAGTTGGCATTGACCTTGGATGCTGACAGATTGGACATTCAGCAGCAGTAGTAGCTATATCAGCTTTGGTAAGAGGAAGCCTATGTTGCTTTATTGGGTGAATGAATGGCCTCCAATCCTGCCAACACAAATACTCTGTGGACACACTGCAAGAATGGAGGTTGACAAGGACAAGTGTTAGCTGATCCCTAGAGGAGGAGTCATCTTATCCACTTGGTTGTTGAGTGCCTCCTCTGTAGTGGCTACTCATTGGTGGGCACTGGCATGGAATAGAAAAGGCTACACACTTTGTTTCTGCTCCCATAGGTCCATTCTTGTGCTTCTTCCCTAGATTGTGGGGTTTTGCTTTTTCTAAGCCCCTGACCAACCAGACACGCCACTTATCACTGGTTAGGGGTCCATGTATACTCTTATTCAGGCAACTTCTCCTTTAACACCAAGTTCATGACCAGGTGTACTGTTTGAAGCTCTATGCAGAGGATTTCTCCTCATCACTGCCTTTCAGGGCCACCCCTGAGGGAGTCTCTGGTGCAAAAGCAGATTGTTCTCAGACAGTACCAAGATTTTGAGGCCATCTGTGAACCTATATTTTTCCCTCTTTCATCAGCTGGTCCTAGGACAGTCCTTATAAGGCCATGGGTACGAACTAGGGAGAAACTTTGATTCAATATAAGCAGGTGATAAGTAGGTCAAGGCCAATATTTTTGTGCAATTTACTTGTGTCTTCAAGACCTGTCATAACAATCCAATTCCAAATGTCCATTGAACGATGAATGGCTTTGTCCAGCAGAGTTTATGACTTGGTGAGTCTGGCTGAGTATCTCCTTTACGATAGGAGGCATGGGACTCTCAGTTACTTGATGTCCCTTGGTCCAGCACTTAGTGTCTTTCTGGGGTGCAGTAGCGTGCTAGGAGCTGCTTTCCAAATACTGTACAATTTCTTCGCTGCAGACAGTGTGGTCTTGCTTCAGTCCTGGAGGAGTCTATACTGTGACTCACTAATTAGGGCATAGCAGAGACTCCTTACAGCATTTTCATTTTGCCACAGCAAACTCTAGCACCATGAGCTTGGCTGGGTCATACAGCCCGGGTGATGGGCTGCTTGTACCACAGCCTGACTTCATTTCTTGGTAGGAGGAACTGCAAAGCGTTGTGGCCGCTTTTATGTGTGTGTACTCCAGGATAATGTCTCCGCTCAAGGCTTTTCATTTATTCACATACCTTTTGCCCTGTAAGGTAACATATTCACAGGTTCCGGGGATTGGAATACAGACATCTTTGGGATGCCAGTATTCTACTACAGGGCTGCTTCCAGATGTTGGCTATTAAGAATAAAGATACAAAAAAAAAAAAAAAAAAAAAGGAATAAAGCTGCTAAAAACATTCCTACGGGTGTGTGTGCGTGTGTGTATACATAAAGCTTTATGTCTCTGGGGTAAACTCCCAGTATTGCAATGACTGGGTCGTATGGTAATTGTATATTTTGTTTTTATAAGAAACTGCCAAAAAAAAAAAAAAAAAAGAAGAAGAAGAAAGAAGAAAAACTGCCAGCCTGTGTTCCGGAGGGGCTGTGCTATTTTATTTTCCTGCCCCAGCGTCTGAGCTGTCGAGCACCCCTGCCTCCGCGTCCGTCCTATTCGGGGGTTGTCACGATCCATCGTTTATTTTCGTCGGTGTGTGCGGTGTGTCGTGATAGCTCAGGGTGGTTTCCATTTGCCCTTGGCTGCGGGCTCCGTCCCAGCGGAGGGGTGAGCGTCCCGTCTAAGGCCGCCCGGGGGCTCGAGTGCCCCCATTTACCGCCCCCCCCGCAGCGCCCCGGCCGACCCGACACCCGGGAGGCGCGCTGCACGCCGGGCCAGGCGCTGGGGCGGGACGGAACGCCTCCTGGGGGGTGACTCCGCGGTCCGCAGCGGGCGCGCGGGGACCGCAGTTCCCGCCAACGCGAGGGCAGGGCCGCGGGCCGCCGCGAGGGGGCGCGGCAGAGGCGAGGCGCCGGCGGTCCATGGCGTCCCCGGGCGGCCGCTCGCTGGGCCTCCTGCTCTGGCTCCTGCTCCTCCCGCCTCCGCTCGGGGCGTCCTCCCCGCCGTCCTCCCCGCCGTCCTCCCCGTCGTCCCCGGGGGGCGGCCCTGAGGGCCCGGGCGCCAGCGTGTGGAGGGCTGCGGGGCCGCCGGCGACCTCCAGGCCGCACGAGGCCGCCACACCCCCGCAAGTGGTGCCGGTCACCCCACGTGCCTCTGGCTCCTATGGGGCTGTGACCGAGGCACAGCCAACGCGAACGAAGCCGCTGCTCACTACAGGTGATGCTTCTGGGCCCGGCCCTGCGGTAGAGCCCTGGCCGGGGTGACGGGGGTGGGGGTGGAGGTGAGGTGGTCTTGTGGGGAGATGGTTTCTCCCAGGGGAGAGGATGGGGGAGAGGTGAGGGGGTCTTGTGGGGAGATGGTTTTTCCCAGGGGAGTGGAGGGGAGGGGGGGAGAGGTGGGGGGCTCTTGTGAGGAGATGGTTTTTCCCAGGGGAGTGGAGGGGAGGGGGGGAGAGGTGGGGGGCTCTTGTGAGGAGATGGTTTTTCCCAGGGGAGTGGAGGGGAGGGGGGGAGAGGTGGGGGGCTCTTGTGAGGAGATGGTTTTTCCCAGGGGAGTGGAGGGGAGGGGGGGAGAGGTGGGGGGCTCTTGTGAGGAGATGGTTTTTCCCAGGGGAGTGGAGGGGAGGGGGGGAGAGTTGGGGGGGTCTTGTGAGGAGATGGTTTTTCCGAGGGGAGTGGAGGGGAGCGTGGGGAGAGGTGGAGGGGTCTTGTGGGGAGATGGTTTTTCCCAGGGGAGTGGAGGGGAGGGGGGGAGAGGTGGGGGGCTCTTGTGAGGAGATGGTTTTTCCCAGGGGAGTGGAGGGGAGGGGGGGAGAGGTGGGGGGCTCTTGTGAGGAGATGGTTTTTCCCAGGGGAGTGGAGGGGAGGGGGGGAGAGGTGGGGGGCTCTTGTGAGGAGATGGTTTTTCCCAGGGGAGTGGAGGGGAGGGGGGAGAGGTGGGGGGCTCTTGTGAGGAGATGGTTTTTCCCAGGGGAGTGGAGGGGAGGGGGGGGAGAGGTGGGGGGTCTTGTGAGGAGATGGTTTTTCCCAGGGGAGTGGAGGGGAGGGGGGGAGAGGTGGGGGGTCTTGTGAGGAGATGGTTTTTCCCAGGGGAGTGGAGGGGAGGGGGGGAGAGGTGGGGGGTCTTGTGAGGAGATGGTTTTTCCCAGGGGAGTGGAGGGGAGCGGGGGGAGAGGTGGAGGGGTCTTGTGGGGAGATGGTTTTTCCCAGGGGAGTGGAGGGAAGGGGGGGAGAGGTGGGGGGCTCTTGTGAGGAGATGGTTTTTCCCAGGGGAGTGGAGGGGAGGGGGGGGAGAGGTGGGGGGGTCTTGTGAGGAGATGGTTTTTCCCAGGGGAGTGGAGGGGAGGGGGGGAGAGGTGGGGGGCTCTTGTGAGGAGATGGTTTTTCCCAGGGGAGTGGAGGGGAGGGGGGAGAGGTGGGGGGGTCTTGTGAGGAGATGGTTTTTCCCAGGGGTGGGGGGAAGTGGCCCCAACCCTGCGCTTGAGCTCAGAGGGGACGTGGCCATTCTCTGAGGAGCCTTCAGGGGGTACAGAGCTGCTCTGGGTGGGAGGGGCCGTCTGAGGGGACATGGCCTTGTCATCCCGCTCTGCTGCTGCTGGTGCTGTCAGTGGCTTTCCTTTCATGTCCCCTCCCTTCACTGACGCTCCAGGATGCGGCCACAGGTCTATGAGGATAATTGGTGGATTGCCCGCTCCAGAGCGAAAGTGGCCCTGGCAGGTGAGCCTACAGATCAATGAAAAACACATGTGCGGAGCCTCCCTCATTGCCAGCCGGTGGGTGCTGACCGCAGCCCACTGCATATTTGGGTGAGTGCCCGGGGCTCTGTGACCTGGGGCCGGTCCTGTCCCCTTCCTGAGCTTCCTCTTCCTCATCTGAAAAAGAGGGTCATAGACCCTGCTCTGACCCTGCAGTCAGAGGTAGGTGATGGTAGGGCCCTTGGTAGCCTGAAAAGTCAAGACCCCAAATCATGTTTGAGGCTTGTGCAGATTAACCTTCAAGCCAAGCAGCAAGAAATGGGAGGGATGCCAGTCGAGATGCATTCTTTATGAAGAGCGGAGTGTAGTGGACCAACGTGGCTAGATCAGTGGTCTTCAACTTTAATAAGCCTGGAAAGATCCGCAGAGAGCTCGTTAAAACACAGATTGCCTGTCCCCGACCCCCAGCATTTCTGATGCAGGAGTGGGATCTGAGCATCTGCATCTCTAACAAGTTCCCATGATCCTGCTCACCAGGGAACTAGACCTGGAGCACCACTAGACAGATTGGCCAAGGGTCCGGAGATAAGATGTGGTTTGGAGGGAGGGAAGTGGTTGGTGGAGGTAGGCCCGGGCTGGGAAGGCCCAGAAGAGGTGGAGGGGGAGTGGAGAGCCTCTAGGATCTCTCTGCAGCTACGTGGAATACACGGTGAAGATGGGAGACATCTACATGAGGCATACCTCCGATATGGCAGTCAAGATCCCCGTCAAGGACATCGTTATTCACAAAGATTACAATCCTCTTGGATTAATTGAGAATGATATTGCCCTCGTTCTGCTTGAGTTCCCTGTGAATTTTTCCACCCACATCCATCCCGTGTGCCTCCCTGAAAAGGCATTCTTGGTGCAAGCTGGTACAGAGTGCTGGGTGACTGGATGGGGAAAGCTTAGCGAAAAAGGTAAGACTGAAGGAAGACTCTGAGCTCAGGCCAGACAAGAGGCTGCCGAGTGCCTAGCCCTACAAGCTAAAAGAGGAGGCAGGGAGGCCATTTTGTAGCAAGCGGATAAGGGAGGAGGGTGCAGAAGATGCTGGTAGGCAGTAATTGGATAGTGTTACAAATTTCAGTTAGAATTTCAGGACCTGGCAAAGTGGGTTCTCTCTAGGGTGGATTTTAGCCCAGGGGGTGTTGGTATTCATCTGTCTGCTAACGGGAGCTGTCCCAAACTGGAAGTCCTTGCCTTGGTAGATGGGGAGCTTCCTGTGAGTGAAAAGAGCCCAGAGAACTCCTCTTGGTGAGGTTGTTGGGCCTCCTATCCCTGGGGAGAGGTTGGAATTTGGTATCTTTGCGAACACTACTTGTCCAAGTTTATGATCTTGCTCAAAAGTAAAGTCACTTCACTGATGTCACGATTACTAAGGATACTCAGAGAGATAGAGAGTTGGTTGAGATTTCTCAGGGCTGGTAAGGCCTCACCTCTCTTCCTGTCCTGATCTGTGCTTCCTTCTCCTGCTTTGGTTTTTGATTCCTACCTCCTCCCCTCCCCACATAAACTTCCGGGCCTCATTTCTTCCAGTGTCAAACGGGAACAATATTCCCTGTCCTCAGGGGGTGTCTGTATGTGAACACACTGTATTGAGACCCTGAGTGGGTACCAGGGGCTCCTGTTCTCTTCCATTAGGCAGATCCACGTATTCCCAAATTATTTCTACAGATTCATCTCAAGAAACTACAGAGGAACTTCAGGAGGCCGAGCTAAACATTATCCGTTATGAGAGATGTAATGAGATACTCCAAACACAGTTGGAAACTAGTAGTGACGTAGTCAAGAAAGGGATGCTGTGTGGTTATAATGTCCAAGGAAAGGATGCCTGCCAGGTCAGTTCACGGGCCCTTGGCTGTCTTGCTGCTTTGTTGTTCTCTCACAATGTCCTCATTCACAGACAGCGTGGCTTATGTTATCCACCAGCCATTCTGTTCACCCTTAATTTACATCAAGGGGACTCAAGGGGACAAGCCGCCAAGGCCCAGCCGGGCTGGCCTGCCTGGCTCCTTCAGTGGGAGGATCTGGTGCTCCCTGGAGGGGGGTTGGGTGAGGAGGGGAGATTCAGGCAGAAAATATCAAAACTGCAAGTCACCACTTTTGAGCCCCTTCTCTGTGACAGGCAGTGTACTCAGGTATAGACTGGATTCATTATGATTAGCTCAGAGGACATACATTTTTGTTGCTTATATTCAATTATTCAATTTTTTGTACACAATTGTTTTGCATATGGCTATGAATTTTGTTTGCTAAAGCTTTCAACCCTTAAGTCTGATATGCCCAGAAACCTAGGGCTGGTGGGTGCCTGGGGAGGGGGAAGGTCCTGAGGAAGCCCCATGCTTGCCTATTTCCCCAAGCCTTCAAGTGCAATCAGCTAGCTCTGATGCTAATTCTCTTTCATTCTTGTGTTTGCTTTTTTTTTCTCTCTTTCTCCAGGGAGATTCTGGGGGGCCCCTGGCCTGTGAATTTAATGAAACATGGGTCCAGGTGGGGATTGTGAGCTGGGGCATTGGCTGTGGTCGTAAAAATTATCCTGGAATTTATACAGAAGTTAGTTTGTACAGGGACTGGGTCATTGATCACTTGAGTCAGGCTTGCTCTTGGGACTCAGCAGGCTTCTTCCCACTTCTGTGCCTGGTGCTGCCGCTGGGCATCCTGGTGGCCCCGTGATCACCCTGGCCCACTCCCCTCCTGTTTCTGAATCTCTCACTGGGCCTCCTTGACCTCCCACTCCTACTCAAATGCCCCTTCCTGCAATTCTGGTTGGCATCCACTGACCCTGTGGAGGACCACACAGTAGAAGATGGCAGCAAGACTGGAGCCCAGAAAGTGCCCCAGCCTGATGCCCCAATCACCTGCCTCGGCCACACCCACACCTTGGCTGTGCTCTGCCTGCCTGGAAGGAGGGAGTGCAAGCATGCCAGCCTGACAGCCAGCCAGCCTGCGAGGCGGACCCCGGTGCGTCCTTGCCATCTTGGAGAGCCCCGACCACAGAAGAGACCTCAGGAGCAGTGAGACAGCACCGGAGCTGGGTGTGGGCTCAGGCTGTCACCTAAGACTCTGTCAGAGCAGTCAGCTTGCTGGTGGTGCAAGAGAGAGGGGAGGAGGCATCACCATGTCCCTGCTGAGGTGGGAGGCCTGGGGTTTCCACATCTGCCTCAGGTGTGTGGGGCTGGGAGGAGTTCCCCTGTACCCAGCAAGGATCTCCCTGTGCGTGGCCAGCCTGTGGCACACGGGCCCTCTGTGATGGCAGCCCCGTGATGGGGGCCCCCTTCCTCAGTAGCTAGTGGCCACATCCAGGCTCACCCCAAGTTGTGTGGAGGCAGTGATGGAGTGTGGAGATCTTAGATGTTAACTAATAAATGTTTGGAATGTGTTCTTATTTGTTCTGAAGCTCTGGTCTCCTGAAAATTGTGGGGTTGCATATAACATACTCTGTAGAGAACTAGTTTTCAATGTAGCTTAGAAAACACTTCATGGTGTCCAGTAAACTCTAGAAGAGTCAGAGGTGAGGAGCTTGTCTGCCTTGATGGAAGTCTGATGGATGGTTTTAGCCAGTGGATCCTGCTGCCTGCCCTCCTATTAGAGCCAACAACACCTCTATGGCTGGACGTGCTGTAGCTGAGTTTGGCAGCCTCTGTAGTCAGGAGCAGGGGGAGCAAGAGGACAGAGACTGGGGTGTGGCATACTCACATGCCCTCCTGCCTCTCCTTGCTGCCCTGTAACACATGCCTTAAGGGTATACCATGGGCTGGGTGTCAAGACACCTTGAGCCCAAAGAGCTCCCCACAAAGGGAGGGTAGGTGGGAGGGCCTGGCTCTATGTGTGTCTATACAGTTTCTTTTTTCCCAATGACCAGATCTAGTGTCCCATAGTCAGTGGTACTGGCTGCTGATCTTCCCCCAGCCTCTATCTCTTGCCCACCCAACCTTCCATGGTCAGTGCTAGGCTCCCAGTTATCAAAGACGTCAGCGAGCAGTCTGGGATAGTTCCACCTGCTGTTTGAAGGAGGCCCCCCCCCCCCCCAAGGGGACACTTGGCTTTGCAAACTCCAGCTGGTTACAGCTAAACTCGGTGAATGCTAGCCAGTACTATCCTTTTACAGAAATGTGCACTTGGGCTGACTTGGAGCTTCAAGTCCTACTGCATCCCACTCTTACCTGTCCCTTTCTTTCAAACCAACTGGTTCTTTCCTGTGAGGTTCCCCACTGGGAATGTGGGTGTGGCTTCATTTCCTTGTCTCTTCTTCTTCCTTGGTTAAGACCAATACAGGCATTCAATCCTCCCCAGAGCGTCCCCTAGGCTGTGACATGTACTCTAGGCTCCTCGTGGTCTTGCGTCGGTTCCTTACTCTTGCTTCCTCTGGGTGACATTTAGTTCCTCAAGGTCAGGGGACTCTGACTACTCATTCTCTGCCTTCCACCCTCCAGCTCCAGGCTTGGAACAGAGCAAGACTTGAGGAAATATTTGGCAAATGAATGAAACAGCAGATACGTGAATCCTCCAGTCTCTTCTATCCCCTTACTCCTCTCTCCCAGTGCCCTCCCGGCATTGTTCTGTCCCTCTTTTCATTTCCAGGATGACTGGGCAAAGAGGGAATCCCACAACTGGATAGCCAGGAGTCACAGTCCTGGCTGGAGGAACAGGGGGCAGCTCTGGGCAGTGTAGGGTCCAGATGGGATGCCCTGTGGCATGCTGATATTAGAATGTGTTTCTTGCTGCAGGCAGGGGCGGAGACAGGAATTTAGTTGAGCGGTTTTACTTACTGAGGATCAGCCTCTGGCTACCAGAAAGGCTAGGCAAAGCCTCTCAGCAAGCAGGACACCAACTGCCAAGTGAGTGGTAAGCACTTTTAGTCTTCACAACTAATATTCATGGAATACCTTTTGTGAGTCAGGCACCGGGCTTTGCCACAAATGAGATGAGGGCCGGTTGATAGGGTGACCCTCAGGTCAGGAGCGTGTGGCTGGGCAGAAGCACCCTCTGAAAGAAATATTCATGAGAGACAGAGAGAGAGAGAGAGGCAGAGACACAGGCAGAGGGAGAAGCAGGCTCCATGCAGGGAGCCCGACGTGGGACTCGATCCCCGGTCTCCAAGATCACACCCTGGCTGAAGGCGGCACCAAACCGCTGAACCACCCAGGCTGCCCCCTCTGAAAGAAATAGACGACACAGGCAGAGGAGGAGGTTGAGGGGCAGGCAGTGAGTTCTCCTAAATATATTAGACTTTAAAGAGAAACAAACAAAAAAAGCGCTGGGGGTTTCTAGTCATAAGAAGCAAGCGACACGTAGCAGCAAGTATTCCTAGGGCCCAGATGGCAGTCGTGAAATACAATTTCCCACCAAAAGAAATCAGGGCCTCTTGGGAAAACTGTTTGAGAAATATCCAGCTGTGGAACAGGAAATGTGTCAGATTAGACAAAAATGTCATGTCGTACTAGGTAGCAAGGAAGGCATCCAAATGGCCAGGATCATGTCAGAAGGGCTCAGGAGCCAACCGGAAGGGGTACCCTGGAGGGACATGTGGTGTTGCCACCAAATCCCCCTGGCAGGGTAATCACATCATTCCCTAGCTCCTGGAAATACCGCCTCAGTGGCAACCCTCACAAAAGCTGCATGTAATCACAGGAACTAATGCACTGCTCGGGATTCCATCATTTTATAGGATGTAGCGCTTGGCAGATGCTTGGCACACAGGGATAGAAAGGTCCAGCCTTCTTCCCTTACTTGGGGACAACTTGGAAGGGGTTCTTGGAGGATCAGCTGAGACCTCAGTGGCACATGCACTGTAGCTTCTCCCATTGGCCAATTCTGCTTTACTTGCTCCTGTACAGGCGGATCTGCAGGGAGCACTCCTCCACGGAGCCTCGCATACGGTTCTGGCTCAGGAGCTGCTTCCGGGGAACCCCAGCTGACCTACTTGGCCTGGCCAACATGGGACAATTTGAGTTTCTTTTAAAGATTTTACTTATTTATTTATTTGGAAGAGAGCATGAGTGGAAGGGGAGGGGCAGAGCGAGAGGGCAAAGCAGATCCAGGACTCTGGAATCATGACCCAAGCTGAAGATAGATGCTTAACCAACTTAGCCACCCAGGCGCCTCATAATTTGAGTTTCAATAAGTGTTTCAGTTCTCTACTCCAATCATCCCAAACCCAGTTGCTAAATATAACACAGGTTTTTGTTGTTGTCATTGTTGTTGTTTGTTTTGTGGTTTTTATGTTCTCTGAAGTAGCCATGAGCACTGAATTAGCAAATACTGAACAACTGCTTCTCAGAGAAATACAGGAGTAGATTCCTGGGAATCTCACATAACAAAATGCTCAACATCAGGGAAATACAAATCAAAACCACAATGAGATACCACCTCACACCAGTCAGAACGGCTAAAATGAACAAGTAAAGAAACAACAGATGTTGGTGAGAATTCGGAGAAAGAAGAACCCTCTTACACTGTTGGTTTGGAATGCAAGCTGGTGCAGCCACTGAGGAACAGTAGAGTTTCCTCAAAAAGTTAAAAATAGAGCTATCTTATGACCCAGCAATTGCACTACTAGTATTACCCGTAAAGATACAAATGTAGTGATCCAAAGGGGCACCTGCACCCCAATGTTTGTAGCAGCAATGTCCACAATAACCAAACTACGGAAAGAGCCTAGATGTCCATTGATGATCCTAGATGAATGGATAAAGAAGATGTGGTATATACACAACGGACCACTACTCAGCCATCAAACCAACAAAAAAAATGAAGTCTTGCCATTTGCAACGACGTGTATGGAACTAGAGGATATTATGCTAAGTGAAATAAGTCACACAGAGAAAGACGGTTATCATGTGATCTCACTCATATGTAGAATTTAAGAAACAGGGATGCCTGGGTGGCTCAGTGGTTGAGTGTCTGCCTTCGGCTCAGGGCGTGATCTTGGGTGGCAGGGATCGAGTCCCACATCAGGCTCCCTGCATGGAGCCTATTTCTCCTTCTGCCTATGTCTCTGCCTCTCTCTGTGTGTCTCTCATGAATAAATTGAATCTTAAAAAAAAAAAGAATTTAAGAAACAAAACAGAGGATCATATGGGAAGGGAGGGAAAAATAAAACAAAGATGAAATCATAGAGGGAGATAAACCATAAGAGACTCTTAACCACAAGAAACAAACAGGGTTTCTGGGGGGATGGGGTAACTGGAATGACAGGCATTCAGGAGGGCACATGATGTGCTGAGCACTTTTTTTTTTTTAAGATTTTATTTATTTAATCATGAAAGACACACAGAGAGAGGCAGAGGCACAGGCAGAGGGAGAAGCAGGCTCCCTGCGGGAACCTTGATGCCAGACTCAATCCCAGGACCTCAGGATCACCACTGAGCCACCCAGGTGTCCCAGCACTGGATGTTATATACAACTGATGAATCATTTAACTCTTTCAGAAACTAATAATACACTATATGTTAATTTATTGAATTTAAATTTAAAAAATGATTTCTGGGAGTCTCACTGCACATTTTCATGGGGTGGTCAATATATAACTTTATTTTCTGTTTGTTTCTGGCTTAAAGACATTTAATACACTCTGTTGATTTATTATCATTGAACTCAGGGCCAGCAGAAGTATAATTCATGCCTGTACAAAGCTCACCTAACACGTATTTTCTCTGCGATGCATATTACAGCCCAGGGTCCTTAGCAACACGAGACAGCCACTCAGTAAATATGCTTGGGGGTCATTTTAAACAGCAAAATCAGCAGCAAAAAAAGCACAAAAATGGAAAAATATGGGACATGATAGCCTGGGAATGGGACATGACAGCTGAAAATGGAAGGCATGGTGTCATCTTATCAACGTCAGCTGAGAATGGTGCTCGCATTGTTTCTGATGAGGCACCTACTGTCACCCTTCCTTTTGTTCCTCTCACATCATCATTGGTTCTGAGCCATTTGATTAGGTTGTGCCTCAGTCTAGTTTCATTTGCTTGGGGTTCATTGAGCTGATGGGATCTCTGGGGTGATTGTTTTTATTAAATTTGGAAAAGTGGCCATTATTTCTTTAAATACTTTTGTCTCTCCTGCACAGCATCTCTCCTTGTGAAAGTGCCAGCACACATGTCTTCAGCCACAGCCCATGGTGTTCTGTTTTTTTTTTTTTATAATTCCTTTTCCCTCTGTTTCATTCTGGTAATTTTTTTTTATTGTCACGTCTTTAAGTTCACTCATCCTTCCTTCTGCCATGTTTAATGTACTGTCACTCTCATCAGTCACTGTATTTTTTCATCTCACACATGGTAGTTTTTATATCTGGAAGTTTGACTTAGGTCTTTTTATATCTTCCATATCTCTACTTAACTTTTGAATATATATGTTTAGCTTACAGTTAT